GCATGTGCTGGTGGGTGGCTGGGCCACAAAGGACGAGTTCAACAAATGGGCACAGCGACGGTCTAGAGGCCGTAGCAAGGGCACGACAGCCCCCACGGTGGGCACAGAACTGTGTCTCAAAGTCACTCCACTCCCTCCCGACCCCCGGGGTCTGACCCAGCGGCGAAGGTACGGGGTACTTGGTAAAGGCAGAGGATAAATTCTATTTCCTGAGTAAGTCCAACCTCGACAATTGAAATGTTAGGAGAAAATAATGCCCAACTGTATTTTTTTTAATTTAAAACAATGACTCACTTGTGTAACGAGATTTAATTTTGCTGGGACTGGCAAAAATCTTCCTACTAAAGTAGTCATTGGTTTAGGGACATCTGTAAGGAAGACAATTAAAATTAATTGGTAACATGCATTGTTTCTTTTCGTTTGCACATGGAAGAAAGTACAAACACGATCACGAATCACGGATTTATCGTGTGCAAAATCATTTAAACTTATCTTCATCCCATTTGGTTTTTTACCCTGTAAAACCTTTGGAGTCAATGTATTTTATTTTATTTGTTTGCTTATCACACCCTTTTTCTTGGTCATAAAGCTACTTAAGCTCCCAAGGATAGTCGACTATATTCAACACACACACACACACACACACACACCCCTCTGTTGCCAGTGCCCAGGATCCCAAACTGTGTGCCAAGGTGCCCTCAGGTACCACAGCCAACTCAGCAGGGAGTCTCAGCATCGTCACACTTTCAGAGGAAGCACAACGACATCTGTTGGACACCACGCGAACTACTTGCAATTTATGTGCATTCTCTTTTCAAATGGCTACTCTCTTGCTAGGATGTAAATACGTATAAGGCTATTTGGACCACACTCTTTAACTACCGGCACTGTTAGTATCTCTCTGGTCTAAGGGTGCTACGAAAAACACTCCCCAGGCGTTAAGGGCCCTGAAGATCTCTGTGTGCATGAGTCCATGTGGAAGAAATGTGTCTTAGCGTCCTGAATCACTTAACCAACGGGAACACATTTCTTGCTCCTGGCTTATGCGGCCTTTGAGTGACATTATCTTGAGACTCTGGTAACAGGATGCACTGATTTTACGCGGGTATTTAATATGTGCATGGGGACGGGGGGGTTACGATTATGTGACAAGGAAGCAGATTTGGAGAACATTATATAAACCCTCTCCTTCTGTGGATCTAAGGGCATTAGGATTTTGTCATGTTCCAGAAGGACGGAAATGAGGAAAGCACCCCTCTCTGCCCGTGTAGAGGATCAGACGCCTCTCCGACCTACAGCGAATGGAGCCAGAAAATCCGTGGGCACGTAGCAAAGGGCTTCTAGAAGACAAAACCCCAAGCCCGATCCTGTATCGTTGAAAAGCAAATGTCTTGAAGGCGTTTTGTCTGTCCCTAAATAAAGACAGGATGGGATAGGAGTCATGATATTTCTTTTGGCCATGAACTCCAAAGTTCCACCGAAATGACATCTGTATTTATTCTTGATTTAAATTATTGGCAGGTGCATCACGGGGAACAGAGTCAACATATTGTATCAACTTTGTGCGGTAACAGATGTAATCAGACTTCTTGTGTTGATCAGTTCCCAGTGCATACAAATGTCAAATCACTACGTCATTCACATGAAACTAGCATAAGATGGTATGTTAATTACACTTCAACAACAACAAAAATAAATAAATCATTGGCAAGGTCAGTGAAACATCGGATAAGAACATTCTGGTTAACTCCAGGTTTAGAATAACGATCACGTATATGATCCACACAGAGAGGCCCAGTTCTCAAGAATGAGTGTCTAACTTTTGTAAACCCAATCCTAAAGCGATGTCATTTATTCTTTCTCTGATCATGTATAAGCAATTTGGGGAGAATCAAGTACTTATAGGTCATTAATTATGGTGATGCCCGTTTAAAGATGTTTCGGAGTGGGTCGCAGCAAAATCAGCACTGGCTATAGTTATTTCAAAGCTCACGGTGATTAAAGCCCAGCCATAGTTCTCATCCACCACGTGAAAACGTTCCCATTAAAATGTGTATGGTTTATACCCCACCTGAACAGTCAGCCCCCACCCAGTGTGGGGAAGTTTGGTATTTCCGCCCAGTCCCCTGTAGACACACCCACCCATCGGTGACAGCAGTCGCCTCTTGGGACCCCCAAAGCTCTCTGCAGCCAGCAACACGAGGGGGTAACCGCCCAAGAACACAGCGCACATCAATTCGTCTACACGGATTTGTTTTCTATTCCTACTTCACCCACAAGGGCTGTGAGACTTGCCACACTGCCCGTTTCATAACCTAACTGCCTGTTTCACGTTTACTCTACCTCCAAAGCCAAACACACTCACTCACAACTTACGTACGACGTAGGACACAATTTTCGTAGGAGTTTGCTCTGTACCTGACTGTAAGTAGTTATTTTGGTCTGGATACTGAGGAACCAAATGAACTGCTTTTAGCTCTCTCGTGCCAGAATTGTCTACACACAGCATTTGTGTGCCCCCTTTCAACTGACATATCACCTAAAATGAGAAATAATGATCAGGTTTCGTTTTTAAAAGATAGCCAGTAATAGGAACTTAGAGAACCTTAAATCTGAGAAAGTGACTTTAATCCAGAATTTCAGTTTTAATGGAAACGGCAAACTAGAGATCTGTTCTCGAGTTCTGACTCTACGATAACATGCTCTCTGGAGGCACCGCCCCCCGCCCCCGGAAGCGTGTTGTGAGACGTGTCCGGTGTGTTGATGGAAGTCTGCTGACGCCTTCCCCTACGGGTGCCTGTCTGCGGAGGGTCAGGGTCATGAGCAGGCGACCATGCACCAGGGCTCCCTCCACCACCCTTGGGCCCCACTGTCAGCACGAATGAAGAGTGTGTCGATGGGCCCAGTGCCAGCCCCGTTCAGGTCTAGGTAACCGTAAGAAAGACTTTGTCCCCCTGACTTCATCTCTGGAGCTGGTCACACCCTTAGGATATAATCTTTAATTTTATGACTTGTTCTCCCCTGCTATACACACATATTTATCATTCTTGTACACGTGTGTTTTTTTTTCTAATGTTCATTTATCTTATTCCCTGCAAGCACCATTTAGAAAGGCTAATCCGGGGCGCCTGGGTGGCTTGGTCGGTTAAGTGTCCCGACTTCAGCTCAGGTCAGGATCTCACGGTCCGTGAGTTCGAGCCCCGCGTCGGGCTCTGTGCTGACCGCTCAGAGCCTGGAGCCTGCTTCAGATTCTGTGTCTCCCTCTCTCTCTGCCCCATCCCCACTCATGCTCTGTCTCTCTCTGTCTCAAAAATAAATAAACGTTAAAAAAATTTTTTTTAATTAAAAAAAATAAAAAATAAAAAAAGAAAGGCTAATCCAAGAAGCCGAAGATTCGAAGAGGCCATGTCAGTCTTCCTGGGCCTGACTGGCACTCTCAGATCACCCAGTTGGATTCGAACCACCAACAAATCCTCAGCGAGCCAGGTGAGTCCGTCAGTCAAAGACATAAGTCAAGCAAAGCACAGACAGAGTCCTCGCCGGGTGCGCTCCCGTCCAAGCCATTACGGCGTGAATACGGAAGAGAAGTCGTGGTTTCTGCCCACGCACAGCTTCTAATTCTGACAGTCAAACCACAGATACCCAGAGAAGCTGTGGTTTCTGACTTTAAGTCGCCTTTGGGTTTCCCAGACAGGAAAACCTGAATAAGCATAAAGGACTGGGGATACCAGAATAACGCACGGAGAGCCTTGCAAATGCTGATCGCTGGGTCAAACCCTTAGATCACCCTGACATTGGCTAAGAGGCCAGTATTCACGTTTGGTTGGAATTTTATTTGTATTCGGAGGATAGAGCCCTAGCCACACACACACACACACACACACAGGTGCACAAAACTGGGGGAAACGTCCAGAGTGGGCTCTCCCGGGCTCTGCCGTGTCCCCCCCAGGAGCGTGCCCAGGCTACTCGGTCGTCGGGCAGCACTGGAAGGTTCTCATCCTGCTCGCCTGGTTCGGGCATCCTGGGAAAGCTCTGCTCTCAGAACGCGTGGGCCTGAGTAAAACCACAGAGAGGCAGGGGCTAGTGTGTGCCCCAGCTAAGCCTGGGTCTGTGATGAGCTCATTTTCAAGCGTTTCCTAGTTCAAGTCTGTGCCTTAGAGCTTAGGCCTCCTTTCTCAGAATAAAGAGCCGCCACGGAGAAGGCAATCTCTGTCTGTGGTTCCTTGGACTCTTTGCTAGAGGAACAGGCGGGCCCCGATCCTCGGGCTCCCCTCTCCTCCGGAGGCCTCACCACATGGAGACCTGGAGTCCCAGATGTACCACTGGCAAGCACACCATGTAGCATCTCTGTTTTCTGAACCATGAAACGTAGATAAAAATTATGTCTCCCCTACAGAGTTGACAGGAGGATTAAATGGAAATACAAAGTAACACCAGCACATAAACCACAGTCATGCGAGTATTAGTTGGCATTATTAGGAATGTGGGGGCAGGAAGGGAAACAGCCACCCCGGAACCCCAGCACCGCCCGCCCAACCACAGAGCTTTGCAGGCTCCCCGGTCCCTGGGTCACCCCCCGGGTCTGCACTGGCCGAGGGGACTTGCGGTTACCCTCCTTGGCAACACGGCAACGCCCTGACCTTTGTCTGGTCTGCTACGACCCGGGCAAGGAGGATCTTGGAGACGAACGGAGCCCTAGCAAGGTCCTAATTACGTCCCTCTTCTGCGAGATGAGACAGCCAAAAAGGCGGGGTCGACAAGTAAACAGGATGAAATCAACGACTCCTGTTGACTTGGCGACGATCGGGGTCAAACGTTTAAGATCCCGTTAGACACATTTCTTTGGCATCGTTACCATTGGGTTAGAGTCTTTCTTGAGAGAGCAGCCGGCGGCCTCCTCTGCTTCCTGGGATGATTCAAACGTGTGACAGGGTTCGGGGCCAAGGGCGTTCTGAAAAGTTGCCTCCTCTGGGTTGTTACTTATAACTGCACCACCGGCTTCCTTTATTCCCACCTAAAAAAAGCAATTTTTATTCTAGAGATCACACCGTGGCCACAGGGGTTCATGGCTGCATAATACGGAAAATTCTCTGTGGAAGTTACGTTTTTTAAAGTAAAGAGAGCCCTTCCCTTTCCTTCTGCCCCTCACTGTCATTCTCCCTATGGGGGGCAAGGGGTGAGGGGGTGGGGGGGGTGCGATGAGCCATGTGACCAGCGTCGCTGGGGAGTAAGGACCCGGAGGACTGAGACCATCTGCCCTCAATTGAGGTACCCCGGGTGTGGAGCTGTGATTTCGAGGTGGCGCTCATGCGGTTTCAAACACACGTCGTAAGGACCTCCCGGCTGGCCGGGGTGCCCCTGGAGCTGCTGGACGGCCCCCCACCCTGTAAAGGAGCTGACAGCCCTGTGGGACCTCCCTCAAAATGGCCTCAAAGACTGCCCCTTTCTCCCCGTTCTTAGAGCGTGCTCATCAGGTTGTATTTAATGTTTCAGTTGACTATTTTGTTTTGTTTTTTCTCGAGACGCCCGCAATCCCCGCTGATGCTTCAGTAATGTTGAGAACGCATTCACAGCCGAACTTACAATTACACAGTAGTGCTCTCCTGACTGCGTGGCAGGACGATCACTAACCAGAAACACTGAGGTCAGGGGGAACTGCCAACCGTGTCTCCAAGCCATGCGCGGTAACAGCTGCCCACTCAGTGGCACGGGGCACCACCACCAGAGAGGGGGCGAAATGCCAGGGGTACCACTGAAAATCAATGCAATTTAAAAACCAAAAAGACTCATGGGGAGCCTGGGCGGCTCAGTCGGTTACACGTCCGACTTCGGCTCAGGTCATGATCTCGCGGTCCGTTGAGTTCGAGCCCCACTTGGGGCTCTGTGCCGACAGCTCGGAGCCTGGAGCCTGCTTCCGATTCAGTGTCTCCCTCTCTCTCTCTCTCTGCCCTTTCCCCACTCACACTCTGTCTCTCACTCAAGAATAAAAAAATAAATAAAATAAAAACATTAAAAAAAAAAGACTCAGTGGTTAAAGAAATTGCCATCAGATTTCGGTATTCCAAAACCATGAGGATTCTTCCTAAAATTTGCCGAGAACACAGTGACTTTCCAAACTAGGTCCCTTTAGGGGGCAGCACACATTTCCTCGGGATCCTTCGTTGCCTTTATTTTTTTTTTTTTAATTTTTTTTCAATGTTTTTTATTTATTTTTGGGACAGAGAGAGACAGAGCATGAATGGGGAAGGGGCAGAGAGAGAGGGAGACACAGAATCGGAAACAGGCTCCAGGCTCCGAGCCATCAGCCCAGAGCCTGACGCGGGGCTCGAACTCACGGACCGCGAGATCGTGACCTGGCTGAAGTCGGACGCTTAACTGACCAAGCCACCCAGGCGCCCCCTTTGTTGCCTTTAAAAACGGACTTGTTTCCTTTCGGCGAGAACAAAGCAGAAATCACCAGTGGTTCTAAAAGGGGGCGGTCGGCTGACAATTAGCGGGAGTTTATGTAAACTGGGATTCGTATTACATGTGCCCGAGGAACAGCCCCTTAGCAGCAGAAAGCAGCTCTCACATTTTGATTCCACGATTCCATGAAAACTCAACCAC